TGCTTGAATCAAATGTATGACATATGATATGTCAAGAGCTTTGTAATGTTTTGAACAACTAATAATAAAAAAAAATAACTGACAAAAAAAAAAAAGAGTCTGGCCCTTGGCTCATGGCTGCTAATGGGGCCAGTGCGCTCCATGGATGTATGGTCACAAATTTATCTTACCTCTGCAGAGCCCAGTGGGTATTATGGAGGTACTTAGGGGCTCCCAAGGTTTGAGTGGGAATCAGTCTGGGGAAGTGTTGATTTCATGTCATCTGTATATTTTTTCTTTGATTTCCGTCCACAGTCCCTGGACCACTACTACCATAGCCCTTGTTATTTCCTAAGTGACTAGATCGATGTCAGGGCATTTAGGCCTCAGAGGCAGGCCTCACAAAGCAAAGTCTCTCTAACCATCTCCTGCCCTCCTTTCACCTACTCCTTTTTCTTCCCAAGGCAAGCCATTGAAACTCTAACCTGAAATTTTTTGATCTCTTTTGCTTGATAGTAGATGATAAGCCGCCTTTGTTAGGGTTCAGATTTGAAGTGTTCCCCAAAAGCTCATGGGTGAAAAAAATGCAAGAATGTTCCGAGACGAAATGATCAGATTAGGAGAGCTGTCAACGAATCAACCGATCCACTGATTAGATTGGTAACTGTAGGCAGGTGGCGTGTGGCTGAAGGAAGTAGGTGACTGGGGACATGCCTGTGCAGCTTTCTTCTGCTGGGCCCTTCCCCCATGATATCTGCTTCACCTTGAGCCCAGGGGAATGGAGCCTGCCATCTACGGACTGAAACCTCTGAAACTGGGAGCCCCCAATAAACTCTTCCTCCTCTAAGTCGCTCTTGTTGGGTGTTTTGGTCACAGCAATGCAAAATCCAACTAAAACACTCCCATTTCAGAAAAGGGTCCTGCCCCATACCTCTTAGGAAGACATGCTGAAGATCTGAACAGACAGGTCATATCCTTTGTGTTCGTGTTTCAGTCATGGCTTTGCAATGAAGTCCCCATAAAAACACAAAAGGACAGAGTTTGAAAAACTTCCAGATGGTTCCCAGAGGATGGGTGTGCCCAGAGAGGGTATGGAAACTCCATACCCCCTCTCCCATACCTTGCCTATGCATCTCTTGGTATCCTTTGTAATACCCTGGATAATAGATAGTCAAGATAGTGTTTCCCTGAGTTCTGTGAGCCCCTTGAGCAAATTAACTGAATCCAAAGAGGTGGTGATCAAGAATCCCAACTCATAGCTAGTTCATCAGAAACAGGTAAAATGACCTGGGGGACTGGTGAATGGTATCTGAAGTCGGGTAGGGAGCAGGTTTGTGGGACTGAGTCCTCAACCCGTGGCATCTGATGATACCTCCAGGTAGACGGGGTCAGAACTGAATTGAAGGCCATTGCGCTGGAGCCTGCAGTTGCACCATGACTTGCTTGATATCAGAAGGATGTTGTCAGAGTTTAGTAGAAGAAACTGATTCTGAGTTTGAGTTCATTTTTGCTTCTCAGAGGTGCATGCTTTTGTGGCTCACAGAAGACGGTGATAAGGAACATCTGCCCTGAATGTTCCCAGGGCAGCCTGGGAGAACCTCCTGAAGCATGGGGTAAAAATCACGAGTCCTAAAACTTCTTGTTGATCCCTGAATGCATACCAAGGCCTTTCAGCTCCCCCGAGTGTGGTTTGTGACTCTTCCAGATCCATTCCCCGTTGCCCTCGTCTGCTGGCCTCGCAGTGCCTGACAGGTGTGTTCGTGTTCACACGCACACCTGTCTCACTTGCTGGCTCCCAGCGCTGCCTCACTCCCCATCAGAGACAGCCAACACCAGGACCAGCTCCAATGCCCCATCCATGAAATATCCCCTAATCCCCCCCAAGCCCCACTTTCCTCACCCGCAGTTTGTTGTGCTACTTCTTGCTGCTCTCACTTTTGTGCTTTCCAGCAGCTTAGGACAGTCCCAAGTGGGCAGTCCAAGAAAGTCTGAGATCTGTCGGCCTGGAACTGAGAGTCATCTTAATCCCAGGCAAGGGAACGAGAACAGGGACCTCGAGACTGTTCAGGTGTGACCATTGTCAAGCTTTAATAGCTTTCAATATCAAGGCACAGAAATATCCATGTTTTGTTGTTTGGTTTCTTGGGTAATAGGGATTAAAACCCTGGGGTGTTGTTCTACCACTGAGCTACATCCCCAGCCCTTTTTATCCTTTTATTTTGAGACAATATCTCACTGAGTTGTCCAGGCTGGACTCAAATTTCTGATCCTCCTGCCTCAGCCTCCCCTGTAGCTGGGATCACAGACATGTGCCACCATGCCAGGCTATCCACCTGTTCTGAGATGCTAAAGAAGCATACCCACCGAATTGTGTGTGGTAATACATTGGAAGCCAGAGATCACCAGTGATCTTGCCTCCTTGATTGAAGATGAGCCTTGGGGTCTCCCGATTAACTTTCATCACAACACCGTGTGCTTCCTAATCCTCACCACGGCCGGTTCCTTCCAGGCACTGTCAGGCCCTGCAGATGACTCACACATAACACCCCCCCCCCCCCGGCTCTACAGCCCAGGCACATACACACTCTCAGAACAGATCGACAATATGGAAACTTCAGCACAATTCATCTTCCAGCTGTCTGATAAGGAAGCAGCTTTTCCTCCGAATAAGTACGAATTAGCTAATGCTGAGCTGGCAGAAACATTCAGGCCATATCCTGCCTTGAGTGAGCCTTCCCTCCTCCACCTATTCATGCAGACATTAATTCTAGGTCTCTCTGTGGCACTCAGGGTTGAATTCCTGTGTTAAAATGCCGGTGGTGTAGTAACTGCAGGAAGGCACATATAATTTCCCTGTCAGAGTGGTTTTAATGTCCTCTTTCAGTGGCACATGAGACATTAAAGGAAAGATCAATGGTTATGGGTCCCCAAAAATCTGTGGAGTCAACACATGCATGAGAAGCTACCACTTTAACCTTTAATCCTGTTAGCCAAGGAGCAAAAATCTATTTTTATTGCTCATGAGCAATGGTCCTAAATTGATTATAAGGCAGTGGGCTTCAGGAAAAAGAAGCTCCCCCACAAACTGCAGTCCCCGCAGGGCTCAAGAAGTACACTGAGGACTTCAGTGTAGAGGGGGAATGTGAGGGGGTTGAGGGGCTGGGGACAGAGCTTGAGTGAAAAGACAGGAGGCAAGAGGCTTGTGGCATGGTGACCACACTGGCACTACCGTCCTGGATCTGGGAGTGTGAGGGACTCAAGGCTGAGGATAGAGGAAACACGGGTCCTTCCCACACCTCTCTCCAGGGGTGCAGGGAGTTGCTCTGTGTCGCTGTTGTAGGTGAGGTCATCTCTGGTGAGATCGCGAGCTAATTACAGCCTTTATTGCTTGCTTTCCATTGCCGGGTGCTTTGCTGAACACTTTATAGGGAGCAAATATGTCCTTTAATCCTCCTGGCGTCTCTGTGCAGTAGGTGCTCTCCCTCCCTTTATAGACCAGGGAAAGGAGATCTCAGAGAGGTTGAATCACTGGCCCAAGACCAGCAACTCCTCACTGGGCTTGAAACCCAGAGACAGTCTGGTTCCAGAGCCGGCGCTCACCTCAGCCACCACACTTTTAATAGCATTTTGGCCTAATGAAAACTGCCAGTGTAATATCCAAAAGGTTAGAATAATAACAACAATAATAAAAGTTCTCTGTCTCACTGATTCACTAGGGATCTGAGGAAAATGCCCTTGATCTTGGTTTCTAGTCTATAAAAGAATAAATATGCCACTCTTCACCCACTTACCCACCCCTCGCGTGTGTACGCGCGCCTGTGTGTGTTGTTATTGTGTTGTTGTCTGTTTTGCACTACTGGGGATTGAACCCAGGGCTTCACACATGCTAGGCAAGCTCCCCACATGAACTATGTCCCCAGCCTTTTTTATTTGATTTTGAGACTCACTAAGTTGCCCAGGCTGTCCTGGAACTTGGGATTCTCCTGCCTCAGCCTCCAGAGTAGCTGGGATTCCAGGCATGTACCACCACTCCTGGTGTTTTGAGGACTAACGAATAAGTCATCAGGACTCAAAGAATCTTAGACGGTTGAAGATGTTTAGTTAAATTATGTGTTCAGTCAGACATGGTGGTGCACACCTGAAATTCCAGCAACTCAAGAGGCTGAGGCAAGAGGATTCTCAAGTTCCAGGACAGCCTAGGCAGCTTGTGGGGGAAACTGGTCACCAGCCTTTTGCCTTTGAGAACCAAACATTCTTCTCCAGTTGCTGTGGTGAAGAGAGAATTTGGTAAATTGGGGCAATTAGTTCTATTTCCTTCATTCCTACTAGTTACACCTCTCCCATTTCCTCTTCTGCTTTTTTTTTTTTTTTTTTCCTGGATCTTTTCCACTAGAAGCTGGAAAACAGCAGTGGACTCCAAAATGGTTTCCTTATGAGGTTCTGGAAGGGTGTTCCAAAGTGTCGATTTGTAGATCATGGGCTAAAGAAACCTTTATTCTTTAAAGAAATGTCAACCACCGAGGCATGTGTAGTAACCTTGTGTGTTTTCCCAGGAAAGTGATAATTCTTACTGTGAACTGCAGTACCAGGTAGCATTTTGAAAGTTTAAGGAGAACATGGTCTTGAAATTACATAGAGCCATAAGGGAAAGGTATTGTGAAAAATGGTCCCAGAAGTCTTTCTGGAACCTCCACTTCCTTTCCTGTCCTCGTACTGTGCTGTGCCCTGAAGAGTAATTTATGCTTTATCCATCATTTCTACGTTTGTCATGGGATGTTCAACCCACCGTACGGACCATATTTTACCTTTTCCATTTATTGGAACTATATGAAAATATTTTTCGAACACCATCAGAAACTGAAAGTGACTTTGAAAATGAACGGATTTGTTATGGGTAAAGATAATGGCTTCATAGTCACCATCTTTCTGTACTTTGCCCGTATTCTGTGTTATCACTCTACTGTCTTTACAACAATATTTTAATGAATCATTATATTTTTTACTGTTGTCTTCTGTTTCAGAATGCTTATACTACCACTGCCATTAACGGGACAGATTTTTGTACATCAGCAAAAGATGCGCTCAAAATTGCATCCAAGAATTCAAGTCATTTTACACCCATTAACTGCTTTGGAGACTTCATGATTTTTCTAGGAAAGGTGAGATGTCTTGACTAAATAAAGAAACGTGGGGTTCCAAAAATTAAGTCACACAGCAATCTGAAAGGAATGAATGTTTCTTGAAAACTTGCTTTATAATAAATGCTGTGCTTCATTGTCTCATTTATTCCTCAATCCTGCAAGGTAGTCCTGTTTTACAGATGATGAAACTAAGGATCCCATATTGGTAGGGTCAGGATTTAATTCTGTTCTTGCTACTTTTTCTTTTAACTGTGACCCATTGTCTCTATCATTCTGATTCTTTTTCAAGTCTAAAATGAAAATGCTGCTAACTTCAGCAAATAAGTATGTTTTTGTGGGTTATAAAAACACAGAAATAAGGGAGCTGGCAATATAGCTCAATTGGTAGAATGCTTGCCTAGCATGCACAAGGCCCTGAGTTCAATCCCCAGTGCCACAAAAAACAAACAAAAACAACAAAAACTAATATTGATTTGATGAAACTTGTATGTTATTTAACAGCAATAATTCTATAAATAAGGTAGATTATTAATATCACAATTGGAGCCAAAGTTACATGTCTATTGTCATCTGAATAATTTTTTAAAAAGGAATTTATCATAGTCTGTAGAGTAAAGGAGCATCTTAGAGCTCCAAAATTTTATGGTGCAAAGGACAGAGCCCTGAGCTTGGAAGCTTTCACAACTCAGAAGTTCAGTTTTCAGACGTATCACATAATGATAACCCATGTTCTGGGCTATAGGGAAGAGTCACAGAAATGATTATGAAAATGGCACAAGCCTGCCCCCATGGCCTGACCACAATGTTTCGTTAGGTTTTTCTGGCTGTGCAACATAGTATGTCTCTTTCCATGTAATTTTCACTCAGTGGGTCTACACAATCTCAGGTTGCCTGATTCCACTTCCTCTTGACTACAGTTCAGATTCTTGACTACAGACACTCGCCCAGTCCTCTCTAGCCCAAGCTAAACTCTCTAGTCTGTGCATTTTCCAACCATTCCCTCCACATGTGACATGAATACGTTGGTTTTCAGCGGTGCCCACAAGTTAACAAGGTCTTGGTCACCAGTTGTAATCTGGCCAGTGTCAAATATGGGGACTGTGTTCCTCATTTAAGATTTTGTGCTTCTGTGGTATTTGGTTATGTCTCTGTTACCATCATAGTTACCTATCAGTAACCAGTTGTAACTTGCTTGGCTTTCACAGGGGTGTTAATTGCATTTATATTTAAAGCTCAGCAAGGCCTCAGAGAGCTTTCATGTGACAGTAGCAATAGAAACACAAAATAATTATGCCTTTCAAATCAGCCTACAGACAATGAACTCTACAGTTGTATGTGTGCTTGTTTTTTTAGCACTGGGGATAGCCCTTTTTGAGATAGGTCCTCATTAAGTTTCCAAGGCTGGCCTCAAACTTGAGATCCATCTGCCTCAGCCTCCCAAGTAGCTGGGATTACAGTCATGTGCCACCCTACTCAACCTTATAGTATTTAAGTGGATAATACTGTTTATATTATGCTGACTTGGTAGGATTGTGGGTTATATAGTTTCTATAACTACTTCCAAAAACTTTAGAAATGAGGTCTCATCTTTTTTAATAGACTCATTCTATTTTACATTAGAATTTATCTTCTTATATTTTCCATAAGAAATATACAATGACCCATGAGTTTTTAATAAACATGTGATATCTGGTGATTTTTAGGGTTTTGTTTGTTTTGCCATCCTGATCAAATCTGGAAGCTTGCGTACAATGCTTTGTTTTTTTTTAGTGAAGTAGCATTCGGGCATCCTTGATCATCCAGGGACAACAGGACCCTAAACAGACTCCATTACATCAGTAAATGAATTAGGTACATCATGGCCTATAATTATATGCCTTGAAATGTAATAATTGCATATCATAAAAGCCTGAAATAATCCTATTATCTCTCCACACCAGCATTGGAAAACCCACTTTAATCCCTGGGGTGGGGGGTAAAACTAATAACTTGTTCAATTACAGTGCATCCACTCAGTGGATCGTTGCACTGTTTGAAAGTTATATTTATTAAAAAAAAAAGCTCATAAGTAGAAATGCTTATTGGGATATTAAGAGAAAAACCAGAATAAAAATTTGGAGTATTGTTACATCTGCATAAAGATTAGGCATGGACAAAATGCTGGTGTATTTATCTTCCAACCCACTCCCAATAACCTTTTTTTTTTTTTCTAATCATAGCTTTCATTTTTCTTTTCTATTTCATTCTGCCAAATTTTCTGGCAAGCTCTCTTTACAGTAGAGCACACCTAAATACAAATCACACACACAGAAATGATGACTTGGAACTGGGGGAAAAAAATCATTACAAAAATATCCTAATCAATTTATAATTCTCAACAAACTCATTTCAAACAGGTGTTGGTGGTGTGTTTCACTGTTTTTGGAGGACTGATGGCTTTTAACTACAACCGTGTGCTCCAGGTGTGGACAATTCCCCTGTTATTGGTCGCCTTTTTTGCCTACTTAGTCGCTCATAGTTTTTTATCTGTGTTTGAAACTGTGCTGGATGCACTCTTCCTATGTTTTGCTGTTGATCTGGAAACAAATGATGGATCCTCAGAAAAGCCCTACTTTATGGACCAAGATTTTTTGGTAAGCAAACGGTTCACGTTGTGTTGAAATCTCCAGCCTCACAATCTCAAAAGGCTCACATACAAAGGAGGCTCATGAAGCCTCAGTTCTCACCCAGAGGGCTCTGTGGGCTTCTGCCACCATAGCTTGTCCATGCAGAGTTGAGATTTTGGCTCAGCTTTCCAAGGCTGAACCATTTCTCTTACTGAAACCTTCTCCCTAGAGAAAAGTGAGGCTGACAACAATTAACACTGATTGGATAGGTTCCTTGTAGGAACAGTACCTAAGGACCTGGGTAGAAGGTATCCTGGACACAGCTATAGTCCATGTACCTTTCCTGTTCATGGTGTGGACTGGCCTCTTGGGCAGTCTAGGAAGTTTAGCAATGATAGTTTTCTAAAGCAGTTGCATATCCCCCCATGTCACATCATATGCACTGAGCTTTAGGGAGAGCTGGCTCCAAAGTAGACTAATCACCTTCTGTGCCAATATTGACAGATCTGCAGCCCTCAGGCCCTTTATTAACCAAGGCACACCCTCTGTTCACCTCCCCCTTCCATGCCGCTTATATCTGGAAATAGCAGGCAGCTGTTTCCAACAGCTTTTAAACACAGTTGTTGCTTGTTTGCCTTATCCTGTGTAGACAGGGATGTTTTAACAACCGAATAATGCCTCATCTTTTTGTTGTCAAGGTCATGTGACCTTTTAATATAAATTTTCTTTCCTTCTGTTGACGTAAAACTTAGGTTAAAGCCCGGTTAGCTTTCAGTGGTGCTCAAAACACTCAGTTCTAAAGGCACTGAAGTTTAACAAGCATTTCTATAGTTTTAAATTAATCTCAATTCTAATCCACATAAAAATATAACTTTTACTTGTTTGACTTATTTGTATGAGCTCTAAAGGAAGTGCTTCTGAAGATGGTATGAGGCTAGCTTGGTCTTCTTTCCCTAATTTTATACTGTTCCAGTTAAACATTCACTGAGCCAGGCCAGTAGCACCTGTAATCCCAGAAACTTGAGAGGCTCGGGCAGCAGGATCAGAATTCGAGGCCAGCCACAGCCAAGTCAGAAAGCCCATCTCAAAAATAAAATAAAAAAGAGGTGGGGATACAGCTCACTGGTAAGAGCTCACCTGGGTTCAGTCCCTAGTATGGGGGTGGGGCGTCACTTTGAAATCTATCCCTAAAATATGTTGATTCAGTTCCCTCAAGCTTTATGGCCAAGAAACCTAGTAAATGGCTACCCACAGTGCAGATACATCCGCTGGTCTCACTTACTGTTTTGTTTTTTAGAGTTTTGTGAAAAGGATCAACAGAGTTAACACTGCAAGGGCTCAGAGAGACATGGACTCATTAAGGACTGAAGAAGGAACAGAACTCGGGCCCATTGTGAGATAGCAGCCCAGGAGACCTTTGTACCTGGAGGAAGTGACCTTCAGAATCACTGACAGAATAAAAAGTTCAGACAGACCCTATTCTTCCTCATTGTTTTTGCTTTTGTTTGACCACATTACATTTTAATACTGTAACCATAAAAGTTAGTAGGGCAGAAAAACTATTTTTATAATGCATCAATTTAAAAAGCACAATATGTATGGGCTGGGGACAGTTCTTGCCTCGCATTCACAAGGCTCTGGGTTCAATCCCCAACACCAAAAAAAAAAAAAAAAAAGGCACAATATGTAAACATGCATCTGAGTTTATGAGGGTTTAACTGTAAATAAAAATTTAAAGACTGAATATTATCAGAAATCTCTGGAATGTTGCTCTTATACAGGGAAGGACCTTCCCCTACTCATCTAATCCTGGAAATGAGTATGATTATTTTCAGAGTATAATTATTAGTGACATAAAAACCCAAAGTTTGAACTCTTAATTAGAACAGGGCATACACAGGAGACAAGGCAGAGATTTAACCAGATATAACTTAGCTGGTTAAATGCACTAGGCACTTTTACAAATTAGCACACATTCTGGAAAAGCAGTTTTCAACCACAGTCCCACTTGAGAATTGCCTGAAGGAAGATTTTTTTGGGTTACTTATACCTGCACCCCACCTGAGATTTAGATAGGGTTAGGGGAGAGTTTTCCCTTTTTAAAGCTTTCAACAAATAGGAGCACTTAACATGTTGATTAGTAGCTTCATTTGTTACATGACTAGGTAGTATTAATCACTCTCCTAAGAGGATGCTTAAACTGATTTAGTTGGCAGGGCAGGTAGGAAGATGTAGGGCTTCCTTCCCTTCCCTAAATGCCTCTTCAAAGATGACAAGAAACAGCCTGACCGATCAGGTCTATCTACATTAAATACAATTTTTTGTTGTTGTTGTTAGCACTGAGTTAATTTAGTTTAGAAGTCTCCTTTATGAAAGGGATTTGAAGAGCAGTTTCTCAGAAACATTAAACTTGGTCATTAAGAATTACAAGCAAGTAAACTTCACTTTTAAGGATTCATCAAAACATCCTCTCCTTATTTGCCTTAGCAAAAAATAGACAGGCACTTTTTACCCCCAAGCCTAACAACCAGTTCTATCAGAAGTCACTTGGCTGGGACAGTGTCAGAAAGTGTGAGTTTCCAATTTCCTTTAGTGACTATATTCTTGTCATTTTGACATTTCACTGTTGTCATGACAGAAGGTTTAGGTTTGACTATAAATCCTCGGTTATTATCGAACAACACATCCTGTTTCTGACCCAGAATGTTTCTTATTTTCCTTAGGATATAATAAAATTCCCCCCTGCCCCCATCATAATTTCTGAAGATGATTTTAAGATTATTCCAAGTTGAATTGAAGATGAAATTGCGCCTGCCAATCACAGTGAAATCAATAAGATCAGATACTTCCTGGCAGTCATTTGCTATGTGCAATGGTCAGGTCCCTTTATTTTTCTAAGCTTCATTCTCCTGAAGCACGGAGTGCAGTGTTATGTGGATTAACTAAAGTACCTTATCACAGCAGCTGGGAGAGAATATTTTTTCCCAAATTTAACCCTGCCTATCAGGAAGCTAGCCAGAAAATAATCAGCCTGTGGTTCATATGAATGTTCAAAAAAAATATTTATTTATAAAAAATACAATGGGATAAGTTTATGCTGAGAAATGCAGCAATAAATACAGTTGGAGAAAACAGAGCAACTCTACATTGATACATTGGCACAAACGAAGATTTTGCAACCGCACCACCCAGACCTAAATGTCTGCAGGCCATTTTCTTACATGCTCCTTTAGAAACACCACTCTGAAAAGATCTTGTCAGCTTAAAAAAGAGAATGAGTACACATATAATCACAAATGCACACTGATCATGACTTTATTTAAAAATTAGCAAACAATACTGTAGAAACAATGATATGTAAATTTCTAAAATGCTGCATCTTAGATTTAGTTGGCAAAGACCACATTTAGCAATAAGCATGAACTTAAGTCTTCCATGTAGAAACCAGATACACTAAACTGTAAAAAAAAAAAAAAAGTTCCCTATTGTTTGAAAATACAGTAAGATTGTAAAAATGTATAGATCTTTAATAAAAGAACTGGCTGTACAAGAGTACTCCCCTTTCACAGTATTCCTTTTTACTTCATATGCAAGTTATTGGTTATGCTGTAGGATTTAATTGTTACAGCACTAAAAGGCAACTATTTAGGGAAGAGGCAGAAAAAGGAATGTATGTAAGGCAAGTTTTTTTGTTTTTTTTATTTATTTTTAAAAGTACAATAAGCATAATAGTGTTTTAGGAAGACAAGATAAAAATTACTCAAGGCTAGCTTGGTTCTCACTGAATAAAAACAATGGACTAAATACTGAACTCCTCCACGAGAATCTAGTAATCAATGCCTTGGTCACCATACTGGTAATCTCTGGGGTAGTCATCTTGATACTCGCCATGGTACTCATCTGGGTATTCTGCCTGATAATCACTATCACTGATTTCTGACCCATTTGTTCCTGTGCCTTGGCTTCCATTGTGAATGACAGGTTCTGTCGGAGCAGCACAGTATTTGGGATCATACACTTGCCGCCCAAGCCCATACACACTCATGCCTTTCTGGGAAGCAACTTTGTTGGTACCCATCTGTAGAGAAATTGTCGAGTTGTCCACTGGCTGTAATGTCAGCTTTTGATCGTAGATGTCTCTTCTGGTACCTGGTGCTAACATCCCCGCCTGGTAGCAGAACATAGTATTAAAAGTTGAAATGGCAACTAAAATCTATTCTTGTCAATATTTTATAAATTATGAAATTTAATTTGGTTCAGAGGTAAACCTAGCTTGCCAAACTAGATGTCAAATCACGATTTTATTGCCATATTCACTGCCTTTCAAATAAACTCAGACTGTCCTTTGAATCCTCGCTTTACTATAGGATTGCTATTGGCCTCAACTAAGTTTACTTTTACTTTTAGTTTTAAGTTCTCATCTGCAAAATGGAAACAAGACTACCTACTCTGGGCCCAGGAGAGGATAAGACAAGCAGAATGTAAAATCAAAAGCATAATGCTGACACACCTCAAAGTCACATTTGATTGCGTACTATGACCACATACCCTGTCCAGCTTACCAATTTTTAGCATTTACAATTCATTCAACAAAAACTATGCTTCAGCAGACCTTGAGGACTTCAGTCTCTTCAAAAGGCTCTGGATCACAGAAAAGCCAAGCACTTCAAAACAGCTTGCCCCCATCTTTTTCAGGATAATATAACTCATATCTCAGTTTCCCATTTAGGTTAAGCACACACTTTCAGATGTAAAGTGGGTGAAAAAGCAAACACTTGAGTGGTAGCAATGAAAAACTGTGGTGGGACATGTATCATTTAGGGCAAGTAAGTCTCATCTTGGGGTCAGGGAGAGAGGATTTTGTTGCTTGTGGAATCATCTGAGGTGCTGTAATTTATTTTTAACAAGGAAGTACTTTATCTTGGATGTGGGGTTTGAATGCTGGTGTTTTCACTATGCTCCATTCCTATCTACTATTTTTACGAACTACTTTATTACTATTTTAGGAACTATTCAGCATTTCATAGGAATGCTAATTAAATAGCACTTAGTAGAAAGAACATCAGGTAATTTTATCTATCAACTTAAAAGGGACCCTTTAAAAACAAAACAAAAGGCCAGCACTTAAATGAGCAATCTTTTACAAGGATTTTTGAGCAAGAACTCTAATAAACATAACTTTTTTTTTTTTTCCTGGTTAGGTAGAAAGGTTGGTGTTTTAATTGCCAACAAAAAACATAAGCCAGACCATATTTTCTTTTCTGTTGTAAAAGCCCTTTATGTTGCTTTCCCAGCAAAATCTACTTTCTTGATGCATATACTCTAAATATACCAAATATATCTACTTTGAGCTTTTAGTTACTAAGGCAAGTTCTCAAATAAAATAACCCTTTTTTTTACTCTTTGCTATAAGTATTAAAAGTTATTGCTTACCTGGCTGGCTCCTTTGTTGGTGCCCATCTGGAGACTGATTGTGGTCTGGTCAAAAGGTTTGTCAGTTTGCATTTTGGGATCATAAAGGTGCCTCCTAGTCCCATAGGCTGTCATGCCTGCCTGACTGGCACATTTGTTGGTCCCCATCTTTTAAATTAAAAATAAAATAAAATTAGTTATCAGAAGTCATCAATATGAACACAAAACTCTGTGGTACTAAAAAGATGGAAAGTGGACTGGGGGGTGTAGCTCAGTAATAGAAGTGCATGCTTAATATGTAAAGGATCCTGGATTAAATCCCCCCCCCACACACACATATACACACACAATGATGAAAGGGTACAACTGATGAGCTTTTGAGCCTAGTCTCTGGTCAAGTAGATACAAACTCTCCTTTATGCTTTTGCAAATAAATTTCAAATAATTTTAAAAAGAAAGTTTTCAAAAAATTCATAGTATCTAGAAACTCATAGCATAACCATAAACTTGCACAAATGAAAACACTGAAGGATGTATGCTATTAAAATGGCAAAATGACAAATTCCTCCTATTCTCTGTAGCACAGATAACCAAATTAAGTGGTATCTGCTTTAGTCACAGAAGCAGACAAAAGGCCAGGCAATATGCCTTCCTACTTTAGCTATGGTTTACATAAAATGGAAAGGCAAATGCCAGTCATTGTCTCTGGGAGCTTAACAAGTACTTCTTTAAGTTTCAAAACTGCCAACGTTTTCATGGGAAAGGGATCACATTTTATTCCTTCAACTCTCATACGCTAGCCAGAGCAGGAAAGAGGCAGAATGAGGAATCCTAACTCTACCAAGTTCGGAGGAACAATAATTAACTTCTCCCCATAGACTATATGACTTCAGGACCAACCAGTACACCCTGTTCTACTGGCTGGAAACAAGTTTCTACCGCCCCCCTGCTCACCTTAAAAATAATACTGAATAAAGAAAACCTTTATCACTGAAAGTAAAACCCATTCATTAGAAAAGATTCAGAAAATATATATTAGCAAAACGGAAAAGGAAAAAAATATTATTGTAATTATAGCAAATTACATTTGCTATAATTTGTGAATGAACTTTTAGCTTTTCTAAAAAAAAAGGCAGGGAGGTGTCTGTGTATGTATCTGTATCGATGCATACAATAAGCACACACATTTACATACAAAAATATACATGCATACTTTTTAATTAAAAAAAGACACACTGATCATAGTATTTTATAACCTAATTTC